ACAGTAATCCAACCCAGTACGAGAGGAACCGTTGGTTCAGATAATTGGTAACTGCGGTTAGCTGAAAAGCTAGTGCCGCCAAGCTACCATCTGTAGGATTATGGCTGAACGCCTCTAAGTCAGAATCCATGCTGGAATAGACGATAATCACCTTTCCCGATGTGCCGCGAATAGCGATAGGTGTCTTCTGGACACCCAACATCATACAATTGCAACGCACTTCGCTGCCTGTCAAGTACTGGCGGTGGAGAGTAGGCTGATTTGTAATTTCAAATATTGGGAAAGATAAATCCTTTGTAGACGACTTAACTACAGAACGGGGTGTTGTAAGCATGAGAGTAGTCTTGTACTACGATCTGCTGAGATTTAGCCCTTGTTCTATTGATTTGTTCAGAAATGAACATTTCTCCCCCCAATTGCAAACGCGCAATGTTAAAACTATAAAGTTAAGCAGTCGAAATAAGGCTGCGTTAAAGTGATTTACTTTCGCTATGGGGCGGCGAAAGTAACCGGTCAAAGTGCTGGTAGAGAGTTAATACTGTTAAGCTTAAGATCGTCAAAGTCTTTGTTTTGGCTTAGTGAGGTTTGTTCGCAAAAATCGCTAAGTGCCGCTGCTATTGTTTTCCGAGCCAAATTCGGCGACCTTAGTATCGGGTTTATAACAGGCAGAAAGCGAGAAACACTTTGCGTGAAAATCGCTAAGTGCCAGCGCTAATGATTTCTGAGCCAAAATCGGAGATTTTAGTATGGGGGTTTAACAGGGCAAGCTAGACGGCAGGGCGTAAAATTAGACTTGGTTTAAGTATGTTAAAAGAGAGCGAATAGCGTGAATTAGACTTGGTTTAACTATGTTAAAGAGAGCGGAATAGCATGAATTAGACTTGGTTTAACTATGTTAAAGAGAGCGGAATAGCATAAAATAGACTTGGTTTAAGTATGTTAAAAGAGAGCGAAATAGCGTAAATTAGACTTGGTTTAACTATGTTAAAGAGAGCGGAATAGCATGAAATAGACTTGGTTTAACTATGTTAAAGAGAGCGGAATAGCATGAAATAGACTTGGTTTAAGTATGTTAAAAGAGAGCGAAATAGCGTGAATTAGACTTGGTTTAAGTATGTTAAAGAGAGCAGAATAGCGCGAATTAGACTTGGTTTAAGTATGTTAGAGAGAGCAGAGTAGCGTGAATTAGACTTGGTTTAAGTATGTTAAAGAGAGCAGAATAGCGCGAATTAGACTTGGTTTAAGTATGTTAGAGAGAGCAGAGTAGCGTGAATTAGACTTAGTTTAAGTATGTTAAAGAGAGCGGAATAGCGTGAATTAGACTAGGATAAAGTATGCAAAATGAAGCTGAGGACTTTGTGAAAAAATGCGAAGTTGTTTGCTGTTCTAATTGTATGGGTTTGGAGATGTTTTTGGCTTGGATTAATAACAGGCAGGAAGCGCGAGGAAACGCAGCGAATATGGACGCGTACGCGGAAGGTGACGGCGGAGGAAGCGCGGATATGGAGGTGAAAATGGTGAAGGTGATGGCGCGAGGAAGGTGACGGCGCATGGGTGTGAATATGGAGGTGATGAAAGGTGACGGGAGGAAACGCATGATGTATATGACAAGTTGGTGTCGTACTTAAGCGAGCGCGCGCTGTGCATGTATGAAGGTGTCGAAGGTGTTCATATTGGCCTAAGACGCGTACGTGCACATGTCATGTCGCATAGGAAAGCGTAGGTATGGTTGTGCAAGTCGTAAATGGCCACTTTGGTGGTTTTAACATTGTTTCCAGGCCCGCGTATGCGCAAATATGGGGTGCGGCGGCTATCTGCACTGCTGTGTATGAAGGTGTCGGTCTGTGTGGGGTTCCTATCGGAGAGAATACGTATGCTGCGTTGTAGGAGTGAGCTGCTGGCCACACGTTTGTATTGGAGTGCGCCACACCACCCCCCTTTTTGTTTTGTTACTATATAAAGTGTAGCCATCCACCCAGCCAATTCTGAGGGCCAGAAGGGGTATTGGGGGCCATCGTGTGCAGTCTATGGCCACGTATGTGGACATGTGAGTGTGTAAATGTGTTGTACCAATGTATACGAGTGATAAACACTAATAGGCGTGTCGGTCAAAGTCAAATGTAGACGGCCATCTTAGGCTGAAAGCACCATATCCCGTCTGCTCTGTGAAGTTAAGCAGCCTCAAGCTCGGGTAGTACTCGGGTGGGTGACCACCGGGGAAGTCCGGGTGCTGTCTACTTTTTAGCCCGTTTTGAGCTGTTTACCGACTTTGCGTGTGTTTGCAAACGCAAGATATGATGTCTGGCATGTGCCCACACGACATCTTGGTTTTAGTATGCCTGGCGAGCCACTACACACGAGATCTTGTTTTTTGTATGGTGTTCTTTAATTTGATTATTATGAAGATGAAAGAGAACCGTTAGAACGGGTATGAAGGGTGTTCTAGGGGTGCTTTTCGGTGCTCTTTCACGTGGACATATCGCAGCATGCGACATGTCAGCGGAACACTGTCTAAATTAATAAATACTGTTTTGGCCGATTTCTAAAAGCGTCTATAAAAGGGCATAAGTGCAATGACTCGTCTTTGTAACCCTGCGGCCTAGGCGTAGTTTTTCACGGGGAATCCGAATATCAAAGGTAGATTTATGTACAACATGTACTTTTTTTGCAACATGTACTTTTTATCTACGGGACATAGACATATGTAAAAACACACGGCGGAGCCGTTCCCGCAATCAGAATTTGTCTAACTCTTCTAGATCAAAAGTTATTCAGCGAAATGTGAGACTTTGTTTGGCATGCTCTTTTTTTAGGTGGTTTTTTCCGGTTTTATGTGCCGCCCGGCAGATCTGGCCTGCAGACTTTAGCAGAAAACTTGGCGCATGTGTTCGCACGACCGCTCCCAAAGTTTTACAAGCATATCTCCAGTAGTTGCTTCGCAATGATTTTTTTAGTGACGCCAAAAAACGCCATTTTCGCGGAAAATGGACACCTTGGACGGCCAAAATCACCACTTTTGGCCATGTTTGGCCCTGCACATCCAGGAAGCAAATGAGACTGCTCCGTATAAAAACTGCCCTAGGGGTGCTTTTATGCGCGCATTCCCGTGGTCAAGTCAGATTTTGGCTAAATTCAAATGCCTTGTCTATAAACACTTTTTTCGACCTAAATTTTCACCTGTTTTGTCCCGAAATGATAGCACCCATTCTTTATTTGCCTATATATCGCGAAGGAGGCAACTTTTTTCCTGTTAAGTATAGATAAAAAATTTAATTCGGCGTTTTAGCGCACGAGGAACAAAAGTCTCCATACAAGCTACCCTCGGTTTCTAATGACTTTTTGAGTTAGGGAAGCGTGGATCTTCTTTTTTTCTTGTTTCCAGGACTTCACATGAACTTCCAACTCAACTCGAATTGTCATCCCGGGCCCACCACGCATCGAAACGACACTTTTCTCGGAACTGGCGAATAAAAAATAGGTCACCAGATGCGCAAGAGTCTGGGATGACAGAATATCAAAACAATAACAGAATCGTTAGTACTTTTTTTGTCACCAGCGCCCTTTTTCTGTTTTCGCGTACATAATCGAGCATAACTTTATCAATTTATACCCATATCGACCGATATCGATGTCACGATAGTGTACTTTTTTTAGGCGCACATGATGGTAAAAAGAACGGCCACCTATTCCCCAGCCGTTCTTAAGTTATGCTCTTTTAAAGATTTTACTTTAGAGATGACACACCCTCTCATTTCACTCCATTACATGCTCTTTTTGCTGAATTACGTGGCACAGACGCAGAAAATCATGGTTCGCAAGTCGAACATTTTTGAAGAGCGCATCGAAACGGACATTTTCTTAAAATAACATGGTATACAAAAAGTGCGTTCTTGAGCCTGTAGCAAACGATTTGCATCCATGACATCCCAAAAACTTAAAATAACATATCTCGACTCCTAGAATGAAATCGACGTGAATCCTTAGGGCAGTTAGTGTGTTTTAGTATCATACTTAACACCACAAAGTTTTACGGGGCACTCTACAATACTCTTCCCAAGACGCAAGAAAATGTTCATTTTGGGGGGTCCTCTAACGCGAACTTAATGATAAAATACCGCACTTAGTCCATAAAATACGAACTTAGGCACTATTCGCACTTAGTAAAATAACTTCTCGCACTTAGAACGGGTAATTTATGTAAATTACTTTATGGGTGACTGCTGAGTTCTAACAAAACTGAAAGATACTGACTAGCTGCTGGCGCGGCGGTTACTTTTCCAGCTATAAATAGATGTTAAACGAGTAGTCTGTAACTGTCAGCAGTACTCAATTCCCGTCAATCTGCTGTAGATTAACGGGAATTTTTGTTAAGACGACGTAAACAAAAGCGAGTATCTTTCTTGTGACGGTTTCCTAGTATATGTGAGGTGACAAGTCGGTTACTGAGTGTAATTTTGGAAATGGCGTGTGGGTTTCTAAGATTATAGTTGGTTTTTGAGGCGTTACTTTGCTGTTTAGGGTGATTTCTCGGTCTTATTTTAGGATAAGATTGAGTGAACTCTGGCGATTTATGGTTTTTTAGATGTGTCTTTGTAGGAATAGTTCTGCTGTTTCTAAGACGTGTCTTTAAGACATTCCTTTAAAAATCGTGCGTTATTATTGCTTTGGGGAAACTTAGAGCGGTTATTTCGTGCGTGCAGAAATTGAGGTTGTACTCGTATGCTCTGCATAAGAATATAGCTTTATTTGACGCATTTTATGCGTTGCTCTGGGTATTTTGCGCTGAAGCGATGTGGAATTGCTGACGAGTGTGTGCTTTCGGGATAGTGACCTGACTGTGTGTGCTTGGATGCGAGGAAGCGTTTGCTGACGTTGCGAGGTGCTACATCAACGCTCTGTCGGTGCCGGTGCGAAGGTGTGTTGCGGTTGGTTGTATAGTGTTTTGTGCAGTTTTCGGATTGTGTGTCATTATGCGATACCTTCTGTGGTGCGTTTTGCGC